CATAGATGAAAACTATGTTGCATTAAAATTTCGTGAAGATAGAATTTCCCTATTTTGAAAATATTTTATCTTTAAAATTTGTCGAAACTAGTTTAGAAACATTTCCATGCAATTTATTAATTAATCACAAATTTTTAAAAAAGTTTTGGGTTGTCTCATAAATAACCAAACATTTAGAAACTCATTTCAAATTTCTAACAAAAATTTCTAAATTTTTTTGACCCAAATAAAAAATTTGTAAATGCATTTTTCACCACCCTTCCTTAAAAAAAAAAAATTCTTCCCCAATGTTTTTTTTTTTTTTTTAAACGTGGAAATGTGTTTCTTAGTTCGAAAATTTATGTGAGACATTGGGAAGATAAATTCGCCAACATAGAAAACTTTGGATTCCTTCAATTTGTTAACTTATCTTTGGTTGGACATAATTTAGGATCTGTATTTTCTTTTATAAAGATGTCAATGAAAACATAAACAATTGGAATATTTAAATGGCATTGCTAGGAAGTCATTTCTGAATTAGATTGCGGGGAGTGATTTGATGATCCTCCTTTTTATCTTTTCGCGTGTCTTCTTTCTGACTTAATAAATTAATTGCTTGTTCTCAAAAAAATGTCTTTAAGTTTAAAATATTTTAAAGTTTTGATATTATATTTTTATTTTAAATTAACTTTGTGATAATTGATATTTTATTGTTTAACTATTTAGTAGTGATTTGATGCACTACTTTTATTTATTAATTCAAGATTTTAATTATAAAATAATTAATATTTATGCATATTAAAAAAACAAATATTTACATATATACTTCATTTTTTAAAATAAAATATTTACATATTTCCCTCACGTTTATTTTCTAATATTTTTTGAAAATGTTATTTCCTGATTTTTCGTTTCCATGCTACATAGGATGAAAACAAAACAATTTTAGTGAGAAGGCCACTAATGTCCGGGCATGTATATATGGGAGCAAGAGATCCCACTCATCGAGGTATAAGCAACATTTCACAGATCATATATATAATTGGTGAATTAAAAAAATACTTTAAATGTATTTGAATTGATTAATTGTGGATTAATGATTGATTATTTTATTAACAAATTAATACATGACCCCTTCATCTGTCTCAAACGTTTTCTATCAGTCAATTGCTTAGAATATTGTTTCAACTTTCTTTCTAGAAGGTCAAATGTGACTAAGCATGCATATGGATTTTGATTACGAGCAAATTAAAACCAAAAAAGATTATGTGCCAAAGGTCTTGTGGTCGAGCGGAATAGTTGTGACCCCTCAAATGAGAGGTCTTAAGTTTGAATTTCATTGTGAAAAAAAAAAAAAAAAAAACCTCAGAAAAGACTACAAGTTCACAATTTACCATTGTATTCACAAATTTCCAAAACTTAGAAACATAGTTTATATTTTATATGTTTACAATTCTAATACTGGTCCTTGCAAGGTGGATCATGGTCCGCTAGTCCATGGTATAACAACTGACTAATATTATTGTTTAATCCCATTTGAAAACTATTTTTAAAAAATATCCAATAGGTTGTTTGGTGGCCTTTTAATATATTTCCATTCCCTTAAAATAACTCAAGAGTCAGTTTGCTGTTTCACAAAAATATATCCTAGTTTTAGACAATATACACACAAAGAACGTGTGTTTGTGTGAATACACACATATTTATGTGCACGTACATAGGTATTATGTATAGCTTCATATCGTTTTTGCTTAAAAATTGATGGGGAGATAGATTACAAGATTTGTCTTAAGTGACTTGTGAATGCGACTATAAGCAAAATAAAATTTATGAACTTATTTTGAATTGATTGACTAGTTGAATTGTATTCCATTAGTTATATTACGTATATATGTTTGTGTGTATCACAGAATGAGTTTGAGGCCAGGGACCATTTTTGTTTTGTTTTTTTTTTTTTTTTTTATTTTTTTTTTACATCTTAATATTTTAAAATTTACTATTGAGTAATGAGTTTGGATTTTCTTGAACTTAGATCAAGAGTATTAGTGGGCTATAGTAGTGTAAAAATGGACTTAGGTAACTGAAGTGGAGCCAAGGAAAAGTAGGGTCAACCTAACATGCATGAGAGGTGGTAGAGAGCGAGAGACCATTTGACCTTAAGTCACTACTTCAGTAGTAGAATGTGATTTCGACTCTCACCAGCAACATCTTAAAACTATAGTTCCTAAAGTTAGAGTTTGGACTCTTGGACTCCTTAGATTGGAGATTGAACTTCCAGAGTTAGAATTTGGGCTCCTCCCTAAGTTGGAGATTGAGCTCCCAAAGTTGGCGGAAGTGTGAAGACAGATTTCTTGTACACAGAGTCAACGACAGAAATTGATTGAGAGCTTGCTTAGGGAAGACTCACGATTTACTTCCTCCAACGACTCTTGGACAAGAGTTATGAAGGTTAAGAATTAGTCCAGGGAATTTCCTAATTTGGATGGGAGTATACTAAGAATTGACAAAGTTGTAATAGACATTTTAATTCTTGTGAGTGTTAAATCTTAAATTGTAGTTCCAGTATGAAGGAATGTTTTTCTTATAAATGTGGACTTTATTCTAGTTAGAGCATCCCTACTAGAGGATAATACAAGGTTTATGTCATGTCAAATGATTTGGGTGGAGTTCTTTCTAGATGTGAGGTGTAGTTATTTTCAAAGTTTATTCTTCTGCAAAGAACGAAATCATGTCAGAATAAAAAATAAAAAATAAAAAGGAAAAGACTGATGCACACTTGGCGCTCACCTTGTGCCCACAACAGGCGCACGGCGGCCACTTTGGCTTTTGAACCCTTTTTACCATTTTTTTAAAGTCAAAATTTGTTTAATTCTTTCTTTTTCTTTTTCACTTATATTTTTTTTTTCTTTCTTAATCACATTTATAAAATTCCTCTAAAATCGTAACGGGGATCAACTACTAAAGATGCTCTAAGAAAATATATTTCTATCAATATGTATAGGCTTTGTGAAAAGGGTGACCAAAAGTCCAAAACTGTCACTTGCTGAATGTAAGAATAAATTAAAACAGTCACTTTTTTTTTTTTTTTTTTTAATTTCATGGTTTAACTTGTGACAAAAGATAGAATCGCTCACTTCAGGTATCTCCACATCTTAGTTTCATAGTTTGTGAAGCGGTAAATCATGGCGACTCAACTGATTAATAGAGACTAGACTTTTACTCACTTCGTACACGGAGCCACCCTCATTTTGAGATGTTGCTCCCATATTGTCGCTGGTGAGACTCGATTATTGATATCTTGTGGCAAATTTTATCTCCGCGCGACCAGTTGAATTGTCCATGTGAACTTTTGACGGATTAACTGATTCGACTCAGTGGGAGCCCAACACAATCCAAATTCTAAGGCTTTAACGTAACACGAGGTCACGCTAAGCTTGTGGGCAAATTTTACTGTGGACCATGGTCCAAAATGGTGTCGTTTCTATTAACGGCACATGTTCCGTCTAATTAATTATGTTTGTATGACGTATTAATTTTTATTTTGTATACATTTTAGTTTCATTTCAGTACAAATGAAGTATCATTTTGTTCCAAATATAGTTTCATTTGACACTATACACTCAATATGTGAGATATGTTATTGAATTTCATTTTATACACACTGCATTCTTATTATACACTCAAATATGTGAAACTGTTATTCAGTTTCACTTTATACATATTGTAGTTTCATTTCAGCACAATTAAAATATCATTTCAATTCAACTACAGTTTCATTTGACGACATATACTTAATATGTGAGACGTGTTATTTAATTTCATTTTATACATGTAGTTTTATTTCAGAACAACTAAATATCATTTCAATTCAAATATAATTTCATTTGACGATATAGTACTCCGTAATATATATTTAATATGTGAGACATATCATTCAATTTTATTTTAGATACATTATAGTTTCATTTTATTCCGAGCACATCACAAATACAAGATTTATTAAAAATATAGGTTGCCATTTCTTTACTTCAAGAAATGGTGTTGTTTTTGGACCATGGTCCACCATATAACAATCGAAGCTTGAGTGTTAGAAACGATGGAAAACTTGAGTCCCCAATGCATATATGGGTTTTACTGAGCATGAAACTCTCCATGCCCAGTTCTGCCTTGTAGTCAATACCATGTCTTGGGCCTTTCAAAGAGCTTTGCGGGCACAAATGCAAGTGAGGCCCATGGCAGGCCATCCATGATTTCTACACATTTAGCATGGCAACCACGCCATACGACATAGCAGTTCTACCCAAGTACCATGAACTAGAAGTCGCGAAATCTACTTGAGTTGTAACTTTGTTCTTTGCATCAATATCACTTCTTGTGTATAAATTTCTATTGAGCCGCTTATTTTTACAGTCACGGTGGCATTATATATATGCCTCTGGTATTGTATATTGTATATGATGTTCAAAAAGGTTTCTTAGACTTCCATAACATAAATTGTTACTAGTCAAAGTTCATTTGGATTTTTGCTTTTATAATAACTTAATTGGCATGTTCAAAAGATTGATGAGACTTTGTGACACACTATGTTGCCTGAATGCCTGGCAATATAATTGCATTTCTTGCACAATCATCCTAATGATTTGCCCAGACGTTTTACCTTTGACTTTGGAATTGCAAATTGAAAACGACCCAGTTCTTATGGAATTTTTTTTTTTTTTCAGTAAAAAAGACAGGCTGTGAAGCAATATAATCATCAATCACAAAAAGTGAACAAAGTTTAAGTAAATAAATAATTTAATTGAAATTAATCATATTTTAAAATATGTATAATTTACCCCTTAAACTAGACAAAAATTTACATTAACATTTGGACTCTAAAAAACAATGTCATTAGGTAACCTGTTGAGCTGTTCATCATCATCATCATGTGACAATTTTTTATTTCACTTATATAAGAAACAATGTGTATGTGTGTGTGTATTATGAATTGCAATTTGCAAAGCAAGAAAGTAGGAAATTAAAAGTACCCAAACATGGCCTAACTTTACTTGATGAAACGTAACCCTTACAGAAAGTCACAACCTACATTTGCATCTCCAATCAACCAACAAAAAAAAAGAACATAATTTGATTCCAAACTTGTATTGCCCCTAAATAGGTGATCGAGAAAACACAACTAAAACAAAAATCTAATAAGCTAAACTAGATCCATTCTCAGGATCAAAACCAAGAATAAAAATATAACTACATAGTTGTTGATGCAAATATGTATGCTACCTGTACAGCCTAAGCAGAATTTCGTCTTTCGTGGGCAAGTTTAAATGGAAATTAGCGTGATCTGATCTGATCAGAGATGGCAACAAAACATTACTTTTGGTGACTTTTGGTGTAATGTTTTTGAGTTAATACCAGGAAACGTATAAAGTAATATTAATGAAAAACTGAGGCCGGAGTCTTGGTTGGGCGACTTGCGATTTACCTTAAGAAACTGGAATGAGGCTTGGAGTAGAACCACCTCTCATCATCCTCTTGAACTCATCAAAGTTAACCATTCCATCTCCATCAACATCCACACTTCTAATCATCTCCTTGCAGGCCTCTAATCTCTTCCCTTGGTTCAAGCCCAGAGATGAAAGAACCCTGCTAAGCTCCTCTTCACTGATCAGCCCATCTTTGTCCCCATCAAACACATCAAACGCCTCTCTCAGATCATCATCACCATCTCCGGCGGCGCCGCCGCCGCCAGCCGCCATTTCCACGCCCAAGAAGGAGTTGCAGAGCTCGCAGAACTCGTCAAGATCCACCAGCCCATCATTGTTCTCGTCCACCTTCTCCACCATCTCCGCTATCTCGCCGTCCTCCATCACTATCCCAATGTTCCTCAGCGACTCCTTCAGCTCCTGCTTCGTTATGAACCCATCGCTGTTCTTGTCGAAAGTCGCGAAAACGCCCTTCAATTCCACCTTGCTGCGATTATTGCTCCCAGTACTCCTAACCACCTTCTTCTCTTCCGCCATGGATTTCTTGGGCGGTGGGGCTTTTGAAGACGCGGTTTTGGCAGAGATGGAGTGAAGCCATGAAAGGAACTTCTTGGTAGGGAAATTGAAGAAAGTGGCGATGAAACCAAGGGCGAAGAGAAGTGCCAACAACACTGTGCTCATCAACATCTTTAATGGAACAGAAAGAGCAAAACAGAAGAACACAGTGGGGGCTGAGGAAATTGCTGGGAATCTGGGAATGGAAGATAGATAAACGCGTTGTTTGATGGATATTGGTGGTTGGGTGGGTGAGTTGAATGTTAATGGCGCAAAACCGCGTGGAACAGTGATAACAGACTGCCTGGAAATATATAAAAAGAGGTTAGTTTAAGAAAGAAAGAAAGACGCGTGGAGGTACCAAGAATTTGGTGCTGCTGTCGGGGACACTATACAGATCTTGTTTGCCTATTTATTATATTGCTTTTCCAACGATTCCCTTTTAATTACTATTTTCAAATTTCAAATTTCAATATGTGGGAGAGATTCTTGGAGAAATTCATCTCCATAAATTAGGTCAATTATATTTTTTTCCTTATCTAAAAACCCTCAAACCTCGATCTGACATGATTGTAAAAAGATAAATCACCATAATTTAACGGTCTCAGTTGAAAAAATACTTACTGCTCACAAGAAATTCATTACATTGAGTGAAATTTTTACATTGTTCATGTGTTAACACTTGCATTAAGCCATCTATTTATTGTAAGAAAATGATATTTTATATACAATTTTTTTTACTAAATATTATACTTTACATTTTTAAATATATATGGGCTATTTGTAGGGATGTCAAGCGAGCTATCAGATTTATTGGTTTGGATGGGCTAATCATTTTTTTGGTCATGTTTAAAATTATTGGGCATAACTCTAAAACCTCGATCTGTCATGCTTATTAAGGAAACTCAACAAAAACTTTTGACATTTTCAAATAATAATCTAAACTTTCAATTTTAATGAACTACTCCGTAGTACATTTATTTACATTAATAAATATAAACGTATACATCATTCAATCAATTTAAACCTACATTTCTAAACTCCAATTAAAAATAATTAATATATTTAAACTATAATATAATAAGTATAATAAGATTTTATTTTTCATTATTTATTTTTATAAAAATATTTTATTATTTCAATAAAGTTATTAAAATTTTACTTACAAATTTAATTTTAAAAAAAAATACTAAAAGCAAGCTTACATAAAAACTGTATTTATAATTTGTTCCACTTCACTTGTGAAACAAATAATAGTCTTAAGTAGAGTCATTGGGCTTATCGGGTTAATTTTGTATCGAGCTAAAAAAATTTTGCCCTAGCCCTAAAACATTTCGCTTTTATCTGGTCTACTCATTGATTTCAGGTTAAGACTGACATTTTTAGCTACTGTGAAGAAAAATGATAAGTGATGCTATATTCCCTTCTTGATTTCACCACCTTACATGGTAATATGTATTTAGTTCAGTTTATATTTGATTAATAAGTAAATCTCAATGTAAAAATTTTTATTAATATGGAGTAGATAAATATTATGAGGTGAAATAAAGAAGGTTAAATAGCATTATTCAACTAGTATTTTATCCTCTTGAATTTATTTTCTAATGTTTCTCTCTTGAAATGAAAATATTTTTTTTATATTGATTAATTGTTAAAAATTGGTTAACTCAACTAATAGTTAAAAAATGAATGTATCCAATAATCAAATAAAAAAAATTCAATTAAGTAGTGTCATATTATATAATAAATATGAACAATACTACATTGTAACAGAGTCAGTAATACTCAAAAAATATCAATAAATAAATATTTGGAAGTAAATACAGGAAGCGGGTGCACTATCAATCAATTTTTTACCTCTAATGTTCACCTTTACTAGTTTACTGTGGCATTATTTATATATATATATATATATATATATATATATATATATATATATATATATATATATATATATATATATGGAAGGGTTCAGGTGCGGTTGATGCTTCTCGTGCGGTTGTGCGAGTAATTAATGTGCGTAAGGTTTGTACTTAGTGTGCGTGAGTATTGTGCTTAAGGTGCGTGAGGTTTGTGCTTAATGTGCGTGAGTGTGTAGTGCTTAATGTGCGTGAGTTTTGTACTTAAGGTGCATGAGTCTGGTGTCTAAAGTGCGTGAGTTGTGTGTTTAATGTACGTGAGTGTGTTCTTCATCTATAGGGATATTGATAGGCATCTCAGTCTGGCTTAAGTTTTTAACAACTCACATTAAGTACACATTCGCGCACATTAAGTACAAAACTCATGCACCTTAAGCACAAGACTCACGCACCTTAACCACAAAACTCATGCACATTAAGCACAAAACTCATGCATTTTAAAGTTTCAACAACAACTCACATTAAGTACACACTCACGCACATTAAATACAAAACTCACGCACCTTAGGCACAACACTCACACACCTTACGTATAGTACAAAACTCACGCACATTAACATTACACACTCACGTACATTAAGTACAAATCTCAGGCACATTAAGCACAAGACTCATTCACATTGAGTACAAAACTCGCGCACATTAATCAACCGCACTGGAACGTTATATATATATATATATATATATATATATATATATATATATATATATATATATATTAGTAGCCGTGAATTGACAAACCACATTACAAATTGATCAATTAAAAAATATATCATCAAAAACAATTCATGTCTTTAATTAAATGTAAAAAAAAAAATGCCCATAGAATATATACTTGAATATATCATAAAAAAAAAATATAATCAAAAATAATAAAATGCCCATAGAATTATATACTTGAATATAAGGTCTTAAATTAGTGACGAGAGCATGCTTTGGGTAAATCTCGCTTTGTGACCGGTGATCCTAGTCGATAAAGGACCACAAATGAGTAAACCAACCAAGATTGTTCATAATTAACCGACTCAAATAAAAAAGACAAATCCGCAAGAAAACAAAAAAGACATTGTGTGTTAATTCAACCATATTGGGACAGTATTTTTTTTAAGGACTAGAAGGAGAAAATTTTTATTATTTTTTCAAGAAGCTTGAAACAGAGATTAAAAAAAAAAATTCTTTTAAAAAATGTGTCAACAGATAACCAAACAGCACTCAATTACTACAATATAAAGTATTGTTAAATTATGACAAGCAACCAACAGCGTCCCAACATTTAAGCCGGCTCCCAAATATAAAGTACTTGCAAGTACATGATAAATTAAATAAAAATTACTTCGTAATAATTATTTTATTTTAAATCTCTAGAGAAAAAAATATATATATATTTTTAAAAACAATTTATCTCCAAATTTCTTAGTATTGGGTCTTTTTCTTGGCTTTCCCTTTCCCTTCCCCCCTCCCGTCTCTTGTTTTACTATATTTGTTGTTGTTGTTTTTGGTTTTTTTTTTTTTCTTTTCCTTCTTTTTTTGGTTTATATTTTTGTTTGTTTTTTGTTTTTGTTTTTGTTTTGTGTGTTTTGATAACCTATTTTGAATATTCTGTTGTAGGCACAATTTCTTTTTTTTTTTTTTGGTTTTTTTTTTGAAAGGAAATCTATTAATCAATTCATACCAAGTCTCAAACTATCTAAAATAATAGGAGGCGGAGCAATATACCAAACAATATATCCAGATAAAGAACAAGTTGTCTTAACAAGTACATGAGTTACTATGTTCGTTGAACACTTAATAACAAATTAAAGAGAAACTTACCTACATATGAATATTCCCTAACAAGCATACATTTTTCTATATCTACATCTTTGAAGGAAATACTTCATTAGAAATTTATAAAATAAATATAATTTAAAATTTACACATCATTTCTAATCTTGTTATATAATTAGTAATGTCAAGTAGAACGTGTTAAGATAGTTTAGTCCGTACTCATATGGGTTGACATGCTATTGCTAGCCCACATTATAATGTGTGTTGTGTTGGTCTGACCCAACCATTTTAATTTTTAAAAATTAAAATTAATTATTTTTTAATAAAATTGATTATGTTTATAGTTATAATTTATACTTTTTAATTTTTAGTTATAATTTTAAAATTTTCATTTTATTACATATTTCTATATTTATTAAAATTAATACAAGTTAAAAGTCATATTGTCCTGAAAGTTCATGGTTGAACTCTTTTTCCCTCAGCTAAGTTTTTTCTTACTGAGTTTTCTTAAGCGAGCTAAGGGTTTTAATAAGGCAACCGGTGCACACATGATTTTCAGATACATCATGTACTCTTTTCTTTTATTAAGTTTTTTCCACTGAGTTTTCAGATTTTTAATGAGACATGATTATGGTTAGATAATAGCCAATGGAGAGTGTTTTAAATATTTATTATATATTATGGTCATTATCCCCACTATCCCATTATCTTCCCCCATTATCCCACCATCTTAGTCATTTATGTTGTTAAGTGTAACATTTACCTTTGTATATATATGTATTTGATACGATGATCAATAAAGTGGTGGTTTTTGGGAGTTCCTAGCCTGCATATTTCTATTGCTATTCTATGTGTCGTATGATCATACAAGTTAGGTTTATTGAGTTATAAATAATTTGCATATATATACAAGTGGTTTAACACTTTATATAACAAGGTAACACCTAATGATATAGTAGACAATGTGGGAAATCAAAGTGTTTACACTGTAATATGGGGGTTTAATTGAGCGAAGAAACTGATGATCTATTTTTAACCAAATGTCAAAGGCTCGATCCCTTACTTTGAGTATAAATTAACCTTAAATCTGTAGACTAGTTGTCTCACCTTTAGATGTGCCTACAAGGGATGGAGAGTTATTCTGTTCGACGATAGAAACCTTGAATTACACGAACAAAAAAAGTGTTTATGAACTATGTAACAAGACTAACTTTTGATCAAAGAAAATATTTGCTTTTCTTCTTCCTCTTCTTTCTCTCTCTGCAACTCAATCTGCTTTTTCCTAAATATGTGATAATATTATAGAAATTTCCTTTTGATTATATTGAGTTTTTATATAATTTTCTTAATTAAAGATTTTTTAAACGACGTGGCTAGTGCAATATATAGAGTAAATACTCAAAATGGTCCATCGATTATGTCATAATTCACAAATTAGTCATTGACTATCAATTTTTACCAATTAAGTCCTCAACTATTCAATTCTTACTCAATAATTCACAAATTAATCCTTCGTTGAGGACCTTATTGAATAAGAATTGAATAGTTAAGAACTTTATTGAGTAAAAATTAAATAGTTAAGGACCTTAAATAAGGATTGAATAGTTGA